TTTTTTTTAAGTTTTGTCAGATTGGTATAAATTTTCAACTCCGGCGCCATATTGGCCTTAAGTTTGGCCGGAGTTACTGTTCCGGCTAGTGTTGATGAGATTTTTTGCATAAAACTCCATTATAAAAAACTTATCCTGCTCCTAACCCCCTCCCCTCCCTCTCCTCCTCCTCCTCCTCCTCTTCCTCCTCCTCATCCTGCTCCCAAACATTCGCGACTACTCCAATTGGCGAACTGCTCGAATTGAAACCCAACTTCGGTGATGGGCAGATGTATAAAGGGTCGTCGAGAGATATCGATTTGGGCAAAGGGTAAGCGGGTAGAGGTGACCCGAAGAAAGTCCCGACGAGGTCGATCTGTGCCTGAATCTGGGTCAAATCTCCAGCGGTCTCTATGGGGGTTTTGAGATCTGGGCTCGGGAAGCCCGAGAACGAGGCGAGGCCATCGGAGTCCGAGGTGTTGAAGGGGAACGGGGAGTTGTTGTTGAGGACAGCACCATTGGCGGAGACGATGAGCTCTTGGTGCTGGACTTGGATAAGGAGGGACCAAGCTTTGAGCTCGGCGAGGCCGTTGTTTTGGACGGTGGCCGTGGCTTTGAAGGAGTTGGGCTGGGCTTTGGGGTCCTTGAGAAGAGGATGGATTTGCTTGCGATCGGTGATGGAGTAGGATAACTCGATGCCGTTGCAGACCCGGGGTGTTTCTGGGGGCTGGGATTGGGTTGAGATGAAGAAGAGAGCGAGGAAGAGGAGAGAGGAAGAGGATGAGGAGGAGGAAGAGGAGGAGGAGGAGGGGGAGGGGGTTAGGAGCAGGATAAGTTTTTTATAAGGGAGTTTTATACAAAAAATCCCATCAACACTGGTCGGAACAGTAACTCCGGCCAAACTTAAGGCCAATATGGCGCCGGAGTTAAAAATTTATACCAATCTGACAAAACTTAAAAAAAATATACCAACTTGTCACCAAGTCTCAAGAAATTATACCAATCTGGTCATTTTGCCCATTTTTATATGATAAAAGCATACACATAACCATATAAAAATTAAAAGAGTTCATGAAAATCATTTCTAAAGATTCTTGATTTTACTCAAAAAATTAAGTTGTTTTTAAAAATTATATATATATATATATATATATATATATAGGGTGAGGTTCTAATAAAAACCTCACTATCCTAAAAACTAAAAACCAATCCTCTCCATTGGATCTAGATTCATCAAATGGCTGAGATTATAATACTATTACAGCTGCATAAGGGTAATCAGGTAAAATTAACAGCCACCAAAGAGAGGTAATGAATGCCTGTGTCTGTTGAGTTCTCCATGCAAGTGTAGTTTTCAATTTCCCCATGTGATCTCACGACTCAGGCAACCCATCAGTCACAAACATCAGATCTCTCACTCCACAACCAAACCTCATTATCCTAAAAACTAAAAACCAATCCTCTCCATTGGATCTAGATTCATCAAATGGCTGAGATTATAATACTATTACAGCTGCATAAGGGTAATCAGGTAAAATTAACAGCCACCAAAGAGAGGTAATGAATGCCTGTGTCTGTTGAGTTCTCCATGCAAGTGTAGTTTTCAATTTCCCCATGTGATCTCACGACTCAGGCAACCCATCAGTCACAAACATCAGATCTCTCACTCCACAACCAACAGCTCTTGTTCATCGTCCTTCAGCTCTCTCTCAATCGAGAAATCGTCTTCTAGTCACTCCACACCTAACAGCTCTCCTTCATCGTCCTTCAGCTCTCTCGTTCGTCGTCCATTAGCTACATTCTTAAACATTTTATGGAGATTTAAATGGAAAGCTTGAATTCAGGTGAGCATGTTCTAGTTGTTAGAGTCTGCAGTGATTTTTATAATGTATTCACATGTTTACTGTAGTGAATCTGGATTCAATGCAGTGAATCGAGATTCACTCCAGTGAATCCAGATTCATTGTAATGTAGTGAATCTGGATTCAATGCAGTGAATCGAGATTCACTCCAGTGAATCCAGATTCATTGTAATGGATCGAGATTCAGTATATCAAAACTTAGTCATATGACTTATTATCTAGGAGCTTACATTCTTAAACATTTTATGGAGATTTAAATGGAGAGCTTGAATTCAGTTGAACACGTTCTAGTTGTTAATCTAAATTCACTGCATTGAATCGAGGTTCTTGTAAGAGACTGCGGTGATTTTCATAATGTATTCACATGTTTACTGTAGTGAATCTGGATTCAATGCAGCGAACCGAAATTCACTCCAGATTAATTAGCAATAATCTGGATTCAATGCAGTGAATCTAATGTTCTTGATTTTAAGTTTGATGTGGTGAATCCAGATTATTATCAATAATCTGGATTCAATGCAGTGAATCGAGATTCACTCCAGATTAATTAGCAATAATCTGGATTCAACGCATTGAAGTCTATGTAGTGAATCCAGATTATCTAGTAGATGTGGTTGCAAAGCTAAAGTCGTTTTTAAGTTCGATGGTTTGAAAGGATATAATGTTCTCTCATTCATTGAAGAACATTCTCATTTTTTGGTGTCCGGGAGTGGGAAACAATTTTTGAAGTCAAATAGAGTTCTGGGTCTCGCACATAAGAAACTTGTATTTGATGGTGCAAAAACCAACATGGGGCCTAACAAAACATATAACTTTGCTAAGGAGTTGTGTGGAAGTTATTCTAATGTTGGTGCTACGTGTACCGAGTTTAAAAATTGGAGTAGGGATGTGAAGCTTTATATTGGTGATCGAGATGCTCAAATGATCATCGAGAAGTTCACGGATAAGAAGGAGATGTGTGATGGATTTTTCTATGATTATGCAGTCGATGAAGGGGGTCGATTAACTCGCATTTTTTGGGCAGATGTTATTGGACGAAGAAATTACGATGTATTTGGAGATGTGATATCATTTGACTCTACATATGCCACAAACAAGTAAGATTTTATAGTTAATCTCTTACAATTTTCAATATTGGAATTATATATTGTTGGCCCTTTGGTTTTGATGATGATTCGCCAAACAATTTACAGCTAATTCGTTTTCTAGTGTTTGTGGTTTATTTTCTTCTTTTCAGGACATCAACACATGGTGAAAAGATTTCTATATCAAGAGTTAAAGATGCAAGTTTATATGTGGCAATCACCTAGGTATAAGAGAGGTTTGTTTACATATAGTGTATGACTTTATCTAAGCTCAAAATATATATACACAACACAAGTTTGTTCAAATGATTTTTGTTTCAAACTTTGTTAGAATTGTTTTTATGTTTACATCTCTATCATACTTCATAATATATATAATGTATTCATAAAATATAAATACATCTTCATAAGTCATAGTTCAATTCTTATTTTTATGAAAAACAGGTTTTCTATACACTGCTCAAAAACAGTGAGCTTTTACAAAATAAAATTGCATTTCCAACAATTACTTTTCAAACATACTTATTCTCTCATTTATAAACTTTCCCTAAAGTTTCATAATTGTTGGACAACATTGGCTAACTTTTACATGCCTAAAAATCCAATTTTAAACCTGAAGTTTTCATGAATATCTGTTTTCGGTCGACCGAGCATGTCGCTGCGGTCGACCGCAAATTGTCCAGAGAGCATACTCTGGGTTTCAGCCTTCAGCGGTCGACCGGCCGTGGATCTGCGGTCGACCGCAGATATAGCCGTTGCACTGTAACGGCTACTTCTCTGTTTTGTTTTCTAATGGGTTTTTGGTCTTTTTACTTGGGTTTTTACTGATGTATTGGGTTGTTATAAATACCCTACTACTTTCAACACTAAAACCTCTCAAGAAAATTGATTACTTAAGTTTACAAAGTTTACAAAGTGTTTAAGAGGTGTTTAGTGCCTTGTTTCAAAAGAGCAGTTTTTCACAAAGAAGAAGCCTTGAATTCAAATTGAGGAATCCATCCTCATCATCATTTCTTCAGCTCTTCTTGTTCATTGAGAAGTTTTTCTAAACTCTTCCTTATATATAGCTTATTATTTCACTTTCATTTGATTAGCTATATTCATTGAGTTATATTATTTTCATTCACTGTTATCACACACACTTTTTGAGCTTAAATATCTTCATACCATATAGTGTGGGTTATGGGGTGTGATTTAGTGAGTGTGAGCTTTATTGAGTTCTCATTTGTTATTTGAGAACAAATCATTGTATTTAACTTTTATTTGTGAAAATCACTTGTAATACACTTGTACACCGAGAGAAGTGTGAGGCGAGACACGGGGTCGAATCCAATAGGAGTTACACTTAGTGTGTAAAGTGTGTTTGTTGAGTGATTGTGTAGTGTGAGAGTTTTCGGTGAACTTGTAAACCGAGTGTGTAGAAGTTCCGGCTTCCAAACCGGATTGTGATAGTGGATATCTCCTCGAGGTGAGGAGCGGGGACGTAGGTCGTGGGGACCGAACCTCGTAAACATATCGTGTGTTTGTGTTTTGCTTGTCTCATATTTTATTTGTGCATATTCTTATTAGTCTTATTGCTCTTATTGTTCATATCTATCTATTGCAAGAACATATTGATCTACAAAATTTTAATTAGCTTTTAATTGGGATTAGATTAGCATAAGACCCTAATCATCCCCCCTCTAGGGTCTAACATATATCATAGTGAATCTTATATTTTTTTGTATGTGATACAATAGGTACAACATGAAGTTTGTTCCATTCACTGGGCTTGACAATTATAAGAAGTGTGTTGTATTTGCAGCAGGATTGATAGCTAAAGAGGACATTGATAACTATGTCTGGATTTTGGAGGTATTCATGAAATGCATGATTCACGACCCAAAGTGTATTATTACAGATCAGTGCTCTGCCATGAAGTAAGCTATACCAACCGTCTTTAGAGAAGCACGTCACCGTTTGTGCATGTGGCACATCATGAAGAAATTTAACCAAAAGGTAATGAATCCCACATATAAACATCATGAATCCTCATTAGATAAATACTGAATCTTTCGTTATATATTTATATTGTAGTTGACAAAATGCATTTCGAAGATGGATGATTTCAAGAGCAAGATAAATGCACTGATTTGGAGTGTAGATATAGATCCAACAACATTTGAAGTAGGTTGGAAAGATGTTATGAAAGAATTTAAGCTTGAAAGTAATGAATGGTTGTGTGATTGGAAAGATGTTATGAAAGAATTTAAGCTTGAAAGTAATGAATGGTTGTGTGAACTGTATAACATTCGAGAGTCATGGATTCCAGCCTATTATAGCTTGAAAGTAATGAATGGTTGTGTGAACTGTATAACATTCGAGAGTCATGGATTCCAGCCTATTATGCTGATGATCAAATAGCTGGATTATTACGTACTACATCAATATCAGAGAGTGAGAACAGTTTCTTTGACAAATTCAATCATGGATCTGACACATTGACAGAATTTTATCTCCGATACGAGAGTGCTATGGATAAGCAAAGGCATACAAACGCAAGATTAAACTATGAAGGAACAAAGTTGATGCCAAGAATGGACACGCCATTGTTATTGGAGAGGGATGCAGCAGAGTTGTACACTCGAACAATGTTTTATGAGGTACAAAAAGAGATAATGTCATCCTGTTATGATATGAGTATCAACAGTATATCAGAACAAGATGGTGTGAAGATTTTTTCCATAAAGGACGAAAAGAGACATGGAAAAATATTTGAGGTAAAACTTAATAATGGAGATTAAAAAAATAAAAATTGAATCGCGATTCAGTGACTATTTCATGCGCTTGTCATTTTATTTTTTTATTCAGTGCTAATATACATTGTTTTTTGAATTTTAGGTGAAACATGTTGTTTTGAACAATGACGTGCAATGTACGTGTAGGATGTTTGAGAAAATGGGTATAGTATGTAAACATGGTTTTTTTTTTGCACTGAACCAAGCTGATGTAACAAAAATACCAAGACATCTTGTTGTGAACCGATGGACAAAAGGTGCTGAGATGAGGCATTCATTACAGTTTAAGAAAATATCAGAACAGTGCAATGCAATTGAAGTTACAAATCGCAAGTTGAATGACATATGGTATGATTTTCAATCCTGTGTGAGTTTGGCAGGTTTAGATGGTGAGAGACTTGACTACTTGGAAGAAAAGTTGAAGGAGTTGAAGCACAGTTTGTGTGAATCTAGTGGGAAATCTGACACACAAAACAAAAATGATGTAATGGAGTTTTTTGTTTGCTCAAAAATACCAGCTGAAGTGATTGTTAAACCTCTCATTGAAGATAGAAACAAGGGGTGTGGACGGAGAATTGTTGGTGATTATGAGAAATCAATTAGTCAACGAAAGAAGAAGGTGCCAAGGCTGTGTAATATGTGCAAAAAACTCGATTTTCATGACACACGGACATGCCCATTAAAGAAAACATTACAGCAGAGTGATGTTTAATTTAGTTGTCATATTTCGTTTCAAAATCATGTTTAGTAATACATTTCTTATTAGAATTGCTGAATTGTGTAATTCTTAACGACATATATTTACTAGATTATTAATTACATGGTTACGTTGTGTCATGTTAGTATATTGAATAGAGATGTATTCATATAGCATGTAAATTTCATTATTAGTAGTTGTATTATTTCAATAGGAATGATAAAGTAGTTGTATGCAGTCATCAAATTAAAATTGATTCGCTTTAAGTGATTCTGGACTAACTATAGTGAATCTAGATTCATTGTAGTGAATCTAGATTCATTGAATTGAATCTGGATTCATTATAGGGATTCACTATAATCAATCAAACAATCAAATTATTTGATTGATTTGCTTTAAGTGATTATGGACTAACTATAGTGAATCTAGATTCATTGTAGTGAATCTGGATTCACTATAGTGAATCTAGATTCAATCAAATAAATTACTAATAACTTAAGGTAATATTGAACCAGTGAATCCAGATTAAATACATTCAATCCACAATAAGTATGATTAATTTACTGAATCTTTTATTGTAGTGAATCTGGATTTACTCAATTGAATCTGGATTCACTATAGTGAATCTAGATTCAATCAAATAAATTACTAATAACTTAAGATAATATTGAACCAGTGAATCCAGATTAAATACATTCAATCCATAATAAGTATAATTAATTTACTGAATCTTACACAAAACCTTGAATTATAACTCACATTGTCTCCTTAAATCGAAATTCTTCCAATTGCATTCATTACCTTCACATTATTTTTATATATCCAAACTATTCACAAATCTAGAAATAAAATTATAACAAAGCTATTATATATTATAAAGTATATTTACATAGAAAAGCAGATCAAAACAAACTGTTATATTCAATAATATTAATTGACAATGTACTCAATAACTGTAAACTTCAACAATTCAATTATGCTGATGACAGAATATCATTTTCTCTGAGATCTTGTGGTCTTCCTCCTCTCTTGTTTGACATTAGCAGTTTTAGCATGGTGCTGTTGGGCTTTCCTGATGACTTCTTTGGCCAATTTATTTGTTGGATCAGTAAGAATTTGGCAACAGTATATAGACCTCAGTCTATGTAGTTGATTTTTTAATCACTCCTGTCGATATGAACAATAATTCAGTTCAAGATTCAGCAGCTATATTCTAAATTTTATTAATTCATAAAGACTAACTGTAAATTATCAATACATTATTAGTTTAAACACTTACACCCTCTCTATGGAAACCAGAGTTCCAATTTGCTGTACCACCGCCCATGTAGGTCTCCATATGTCTCATGACAAAAATACCACAATCAAATTCGTTTTTGGCCGTTCTCCACTCCATCTCAAGTCTGTCAGGCCTTATCTCTTTATTTCACTCGACTTGTGATGTTTTTTGTGTGCCAAATATCTCACAAAATTCTTGTGCTGTTTAATCAAAAGTAATCAGTGTCACATAAAAAATCCAAATTATCATACAATAATATCTAATATAATATACAAATTGTTTTGGTTGTTTATATGGAAACAGTATTCATGACAGTGAATCTCGATTCATTGGATCTAGTTCGCCAGGATTTAATAGAGTTAGTTCACCTGGACTCAAACTAATGAATCTGGATTCACACTAGTGAATCTGGATTCACTAGAATTAACTATAGCTAGTGAATCGTGATTCCCTAGTGTGAACACAGATTCACTAGCTCTAGTGAATCAAGATTCACAGAAAGATGTGAATCCAGATTCACTAACTCTAGTGATCGAGATTCCCTAGAGTTAGCGAATTTGGATTTCTCTGACTCCAGTGAATCGAGATTCACTATAGTGAATCCAGATTCACTTATTACTATATTCTGCCAGTAAATACTTAAAGCACATACGTAAGGTGGAAAAAGATACCAAACCCTCAGGACGACCTTGATATTTTTTCTTGTAGTCTGGGTAGTTTTTGCTATTGTCAATCAGCTCCATACTTAGATTCTTTAGCCCATAGCACACAATGTAGAAATGCTCAAACACATTTATGGGAAAGAAGAGCTAATGGTTGTGAAATTTAATCAGTGCTTTTACAGATATAGTTAAAATTAGGTTAAAGAATAAAAACATTGTCTTCGAATCTTTACCAAATCAATCTCATTAAACTTCATATGTGGATACAGAGCAAGTTGCTCATCCATCCGGGAAGCAAACCTACTGTATTTCAATTCATCATTGGACTCATTTGTCCAATGAATGTTGCAAAACTGTACAACATAAAACTGGTTAAATAAAATGTAACTCAAGTGTTATTTTAAATTAAATAAAGGAAGATACGTACGGTTGTCTCAACATTGCAGAATAATCTAAGTGGAGAATTTTCAGACTTCATTTTTTCTCTGCTGTTCAAAATATAGGACCAAATGCTGATTAAATTTGCCTCAATGTCCTCAGAAGGAAGGAAAGTCTTGAAAGCAGGTAAGAAACATTCAATTTGTCTCCACTTAAAAACCATTTTACTGAAAAAATAGTAACAATATTTAATTTAATAAAGGGACAAAATACTAAAAACAGGGAGTCTCACACCTAAAAATAAAAGATCAAATAAGATTTATGAACTCACAAATTCTCTTCTTCATCAGAATCATCATCTGAATGCATTGCTTCTTCTCTATGCACCCAATTTCATATGATGCTTTCCAGCTGACTTTGCCTAGCAGTAATCTCAGATACCCTCTGCACCCATGGTGACCGAAGAGACGTTGCAGGCTTCACCATCCTCTTTTCTTTCCCCCTTCTCGCATGTCCCTTATTTTCGGTCACCTGAACTTTCTTACCTTTACCTTCATCTACTGCAGCAGCATCTTCAGCTTGTTTATCAGTTCTTCCTACAGAGTCATCAATGATCTCAGATTCATAAGCTCTAGCAATCTGTACAGCATCAACTATTTCCACTGTCTCAGTCTGAGTATCCTGTGTCAGCCCAAGAGAAAAACTAGGTTCTTTAGTCTGTGCATTTCCAGATTCGCTAAGCTTGCACCTCACTGGTCTGTCAACCTTACCCATGCTAACAGACTCTATAATCTTATCAACCTCTTGAATAAAATTTGGGGAGACTTGTGTTTGTTGTAACTCAGCTGATATCGGATCAACAACAGGGGAACCATGCATATCTCTACTCACCTCGGTGTTCACATTAGGGGTATCATCAACAATTTTTCCCCCAACTGTTTCATTGTCACAGGTACTTCCATGGTGTCCACACCCCTGCACGAGAACATTTGAAACTCTCTATTGAATTTGAAAGAGCTCGTTGTCATTGGGGAACAGCTTTCTCATTGTCTCACACTCTGCATCATATCTACCTTTTGCAGATTCCAACTCTACAGCTCTCCGTTGCACCCTCTCAATACAATCCTGCAGTTTGAATATCACAGACATTGGTCACCATAAATTATTAACATGGCGAGAGATTAGATTCGATAGATTGATATTACATTCAATGTATTTGAATCGAGATTCAAATGACTAAATCCAGAGTCGACTAAAGTAAATCCAGTTTCACTTTAGTGAATCGAGATTCAGTAGTAGTGAATCCAGATTCACTTGAGTAAATCAAGATTGAGTATCATTGAATCCAGATTCACTTAAGTGAATCAGAGTTCAGTTTAACTTAATCGATAACAACTGATCTGAAACGAGATTCTGTATTAGTAAAACGATTCATTGAACTGAATCGACATCCAGTTTAAGTGAATCTCGATTCACTCCTACTGAATCGAGATTAAATTGAATAAAAAAAGTCTTACAACTTAATTTGCTAACCTTTCGAATTGTCTCAACCCTTTTAGGCGAGTTTCCAGTACCACTCTGCATTCGAGATGAAGGTGCAAGTTCAACCCTCTCTGTAAATGCACCTTTGCCAAATAAATTTGTACTTATTTCCTCTGCCTGTCTTTCCTTCAAGGCCAAGTCAGTCCAGCCTAAAAATGTAGGGGTTGTTCTCTCAACCAGCCTCCTCCCTTTGAACAGAACCCGATCGGCATAAAACAGCTAGAAAGACGGAGATAAGAAATAAAGCACACCAATTAGTAATCATCAAGTAAAACTACTTTAACTACAGTAATGTAAAAATAAATCAATATTATACAAGTGACTTACAATCAAAAATGCAAGAGGACCCGTGTAGAATTGTTTTGTCGGGTCTACCTTCCACTTGTGTTGGCTTTCTATCATTGAGTCAAGCAAGAAAGAACACCAATTGTATTCAGAGCACTGATCAACATTGTCACCAAGAACTAGAATTCGTTGGTTGACATACAGATTGCTAAGTGATTCGATCATGCTGTTGTGGAAGATAACTAAGAAAATCAGTTTAAAAAGCAGGTTAACATCAGGAATCTACTTCAGTTTCTCAGACACAACCCCTAGAGTAATTTTCTATCCAACACTGTCTGTGAATTGAGCCCTCCATTCATCCACCAATGCTGACTTCCCAATACTGAAGGCTGGTATACGCTTCCTGCCCAGAGGTAATCCCATCACTTGATGTACATCTTCCTCTGTAATATTGATTGATCCTCTAGGAAGATTAAGCGCAACGGCCTCACTGTCAAAGGAATGCAGAATCTGGTACCCCAACATATGTGGCAGTTGCTTTAATCCAAATTGTAAAAGACCTCCAAGTCCAGCTAGTCTCACCATTCTTTTTGGGACTCAGAGAGTGATAATCATATTTTTATTACAATTTTATATCCTCATTATCTATTTTAATGAATAAATATACCATTAATAATTATTGTTAGCTTAGTTTGCACATAAATGAATAAAAATATAAATAAATATTATTAAATGTAAAAACCTCTTAAAAAGCTCTCTTCTCTATTTTGTAGCATTTTAGAAGCCCATGAAGCAAAAGCTTAAAAGAGAAAAATGATTGAAGCCCAAAGAGCAAAGCCCATAAAAAAATACACCAATGAAGCTATGCA